CCGCGCCCCGCCCCGCGCGCGGGCGGGCGGCCGTTAACGGCCGGAGGCGGCGCGTGCAGGGTGCGCGGGGCAGCTATGGCGGGGGGAGGCGTCTTACCAAGTGCTGTGTGCGACAGCCGCGTGCCGTGGGCAGAGCTCCGCCAGGAGCGAGCCCGGCTCTGCCATGCCCCGGCCCTTCACGGCGTGGGTCCGTGTGGCCGYGTGTGCGCATTTCAGATTACGCTTTTCAGGGGCATCTGTACAACACTGCTCACTTTTYCCGCTTAGCAAATTGAAAGCAAAACAAAAAACCAGTAGGAGTAACTCCAACATTAGCAGTGCATTAAATTCAACAGGCCATTCGCATTTCTAGTTTTTCTGTTTAGCAGTGAACTACAGATGACATATAAGGARGAAAATGTGCAGAGTGATACTGTTACTTTGGTGGAGGAAGGTTGCATACCTTTGGGGAGCAAACAAGCATTTTTTTTTTTAGATCTTTTCCCTTAAAGTTTTCCATTTGAATAGCATGAATATGTGTAGAGCCCGAAAACTGTCCCCTCCGCCTCCCCTGAAATGTGACATACGATATTCTTCGGTTAAATAGCAAACTACAAAGTAAGGTGAATTGTTTTTCTGTTTKCCTGGCATGGACTAGTTACTGCAATGTTTTGGGGGTGTACTCTAGCACGCTTCTGCAATGATTCAAATGAATTTATTTGGGTTAAACGCATGGAGAGGTAGGTCTTGGCGGAAGTGATTATATTTCTAGGAAACAATATCTCTAATATCTCTATCTCTTGGGATTTTCTGCTACTAATGTATCAGGGCCCCAGGAACTAGGGTAGTTAGGGAAGAAAAGACTGTACTAGCCTAACTTGCTTTCTGTGACATTTTTGTTACTAGTTTTGACTAAATCTGTTATATGATGACAATAATTACAGAATTTTATTATTAGTTAATTTAGGTTGATAAACATTTTTTCTCACTTTTTTTTTTCTTTCCTCTGAAGCTGGAGAATAAAACGAAAGGGAAGCTTCAAAGGCAGATTTGTCAAGTTGTTCTGGACCATTTTGAGAAGCAGTACACAGAGGAACTGGGAGATGCATGGGCCAGAGTCAGGTCTGTCTTAGACTGTGTGTGTGGAGTTGTTATGCTCGTTTTGAGCTGCCTGATAAAATGCTTGCAAGGAGTCATAGAATATAACAACTCGTTCAGCTCTTTTTAGTTTCAAGTAGCAGTATGAARTAGTAGAAGACTGACATATTTTTGTGTTATTTTTCCCTTGATGTACTTCCCTGGTGGTGTATAATATTACGTTACCTGCATTTGTATGCAGTGTGGAAAAAAAAAAAAAGAGGCTGACATCTTACGTGTTCTACTTGACTTTTTCATAAAACCATGGTCAAAAAAGCTTATAGTCTTAGTCGCAACTCTTAGCGTTTGTTCTGCAGCTTAGTAGTATGTCAAGAAACTAAGACAAAAACGTTACGAGTGAAGTATCTCCTCTGGCTTCTTTCATAAGAAGAAATTGAATTTTAATGGCTCTCTTTTGTACAGAAAGTGACATCATTTAATGTGAGCCTTGATCACACAGCACTTAAAAAACTGGCTGTGGCAGTGACAGGGGCACCTTTCTCTACCTGCCAGCTGGTGGTTATTGCTCATAGGAAAGCCAGCAGAAGGGCACTGCAAGAGAAATTCACTGCTCTGGTTTGAAAGGAAAAATAACATAATTGATTAGCCTTAGCAACCATGTGATTATCCTGAGTGCCCTCTATGGTTTAGTCTTGTTTAGATTAAAAAGTAGTTTAAAGTAAGTCTCTTTAAAAAAAATAGGCACATAGAAACGTGACATTTGCTTAACTGATTTTTTTTTTTAACTGAAAATAAATTTAAAAGAGTATTAAAAGTTATTTTGGATTGCATCARTGCCATTTTTTCCTTAAGGATAGTCAATACTGTCTTTAGTATTGACCGTGTTTCACCCACTGTGAAACAACATAGTGGGTAATTAAAGTGGGAAATGGGGAATATTCACAAAACAAAAATCTATAAAAAGCAAACTGAAATTTAAACAGGCTTATTTCTGCCATATAAACACTGCTTTTTGATTGTCTTCTGGGAATATCTGTTGTCTTAATTTTTCCTGACCCAAGAATTGCAGAACATAAATGAGAATTTAGAAAAGAACACTCAGAGAACATGTGTTTTAGATATGCACATATACAGAGATGGCTGAAAGCCACTGTGACTTTTGTTTCTTTTGCGATTTTTGACAACTGATACAATTGTTGCTGGCTCCTAGAAAAATCCTTTGTAGTTACAGCATTGAACTTAATAATGTATAAGTTCTACACATTCTATCAGAAAAAAAAACAAATGATATTCTCTTTTAGGAGATAACGTTTTGAAAAGCAGCAATTATAGAAGGTAGTAGGTTGATATTCTAAAAAAGTTAATCAAGATCATGTGATTTTGTTTTGATTTCAGCAAAATCATGCGATGATGAAATGTTTACTCACATGTAAGGAAGGGCTCGCTGCATAATGGCAATACCATTTCATTTGCCAAGCTATTAACTAGCTTTTCCTTTCTTTTTGCAATCCAGGGATGTACTCACACACCCCCAGTGCTGGCAGTACGCTGTTCTTCTTAACAAATTCAGTGGGTCCTTGGAGCTGGAGAGCACTTTGTGTTTGAAGGGGTATCACCCTCTCTTTCAAGACACTTTGCCTTATCTGCCGGGCTCCCTGAAGTGCTACATCAGCAGAGCTCCTGGGAGATTCCCAGCACAGAAACACCAGCCTGGTAAACTGAAAGCCTATTACCTGCTGAATGCAGCCTCACTCTTGCCAGTGCTGGCGCTGGAGGTGAAGGATGGGGAAGAGGTTCTGGATGTGTGTGCTGCGCCAGGGGGTAAAGCAGTAGCTGTGCTGCAGTGTGCCTATCCAGGTAACGTACCGAGTTGTTAGTAGCTCTTAGTACCCAGTCGCTGGCGTTGCCTGTCTGGGTTGTGCTAGYTGTGTTTGCGTCCTGTGCAAGATTCGAATTAGAAAGAAAAAACAACCTGTGATCTAAGTAGTGTCATGTTGCTTGGTAGGGTTTTTTTGTGGCATCTGTTTACCTAAAAGTGGATGAAAAATGGCGTAGTTTTTCAGATACAGATTATTGCAGATTGACAGATAAAAGGAGAGTAGCTCTTCATTTTTTGTTTCTTCACTGGTTTGTTTATTGTTGCTTCTTGTGATTTTACTTAAAAAACATTTTAGGCTTTTTGGCACAGGGAGGCAACTAATTTTAAAATGTTGGTATATTTTTCCTTTGCTGCCTGTCTGGCCAGTGCTATACAGATAATGTAAGTAAACTTGAAGTATAGAAATGTGAAATGGGACATAGAAGATGAAATGTGTAAGAGCTAAGCACTGGAAGAAAACTTGTGATGATCAGTTGGTCCCTATCAACATTTACTATGTTCTGTGTCTCAATCTGCCTAGACGTTGTGCAAAGGCACTAGGAGGGTCACAGCACATGAGGAGGCACCTGAAAGCCACAGCTCAGTCCTGCCAGGCCAGGGAGTTCAAATAATGTGTGACTGCCCTTTTCAAGTCTATATGCTAGCTTGAGTAGTAACTCTTGAAATCCTTGGCAGGATTATATGGTCTTAAGGGTGAGAAAATTACTATAAACACTGGTATCTGGCGGTTATGGCTGGCTCTCTTCCTCTGTTACGGAAGTGAGGTGCTGTTTACAACGTACATTAAATGTGGATTGCCCTTTTCAAGGGTTTGGAAAAAGCACTTTTACAGAAGCATGGCTGCTTCTGAATTGTTGCTTATGAGAGTAAGATATAGGGAAGTTGATTGTGATGACAGCGCAGTGAATGCTAAGGTATATACTATTGTACTTCGCAAAAACAGTGTATAGGACAAGTGTATGGGACATACCACAGTGTCCAGAGATTCAAAATAGAAATTTTACTAAAGAAAGGAGTAAAGGAGTAAAATGTGATGCTGCGTGCTGGCTTTTGTACAAGCAACAGTGGTGTTTCTTCTGAGCATGTAGCTACTCTGTTAAACATTGTTAAATGTAAGTGCAACCAAAATTTTGTTAGAACACTTCTGGTTTAAATTTAAAACAAATAAAGAGTTGTATTAATGTGCTTAGGACACATAAACTGAATTCTTACTAAATTAAAAAAAAAGACAACTAATTAAAGGCAAAAATTCTATAGACGGTGGAAGGAGGCTAGAAATATTCTTTCTTAGATTGTGGGTTAAGTTTAAAGTTTGTTTTACTTTGAAAGTCTATTGCTGCCCTGAATGTTAGTAGGTTGCTCAGTAACATGTTGAGATTTACYTGTAAATACTTAGCAGTGTTATGATATGTGCAATAGCATAAGCAAATAGTGTGTCAGCTCTGTGGCAGTCCTGGAAAAATAGTAAAACTTTCAATATTGTCTTAATTCCTCATATTTGTAAAAATCCCAGAGAATGTTTACTGGAGTTTTTAATTTCTTAAGGTCAGTTTCACTGTAATGAGTATGATGGTTTGAGATCAAGATGGTTGAAACAGACACTAGAATCCTTCATCCCAGCCCCTTTGATCAACTCGATAACTGTTTCTAACCTGGATGGCAGACAGATTGGAGATCTCAATCCCGAATTATATGACAAGGTAATGTTGTTGCATGGTATTTCTGTCTTCCATTTCTTTCTTTTCATATGTTATTCTCCTTTTGTTTTCAAGACCAAGTAGAAATATCTGGCTTATTCAGAAAACAAGGCCACAAACAGGCTCTGGCAGAGCCTCAGCGATCACTGTATGAAGCTTATTGTGCATTTGTTCATGTGCTAGATGAAGTCAACCATTTAAACTTGATATTGAATTCTGAAGACCTTATGACTGTGTTCTTTGTGTAATATGTAATTAGGAAACACGTGTGATTGGTGTTCAGGTGGAAGATACTTGTGGAGTAGTAATTTCTTTTTTTTCCTTTGATGACTCTACAAAAATATTTTTTGCCTGCAACCTGAAGAATAGAAAGGGCGTTCTAAATGTTTTCAAAAATGGTTTGAGTAGATCTTGACATACAGTGTTCACAAAGTATTTTTATTTTTAATGATCTTGGTTGCTCATATTGATTTTATAGATACTGGTGGATGCTCCGTGTTCAAATGACAGAAGCTGGTTGTTCTCTTCTGATATTCATCAAGCTACACTTAGGCTACTGCAAAGGAAAGAGTTATCTTCTCTACAATTGCAGCTGCTAAGGTGAGAATTACAGGAAAGAGCTACTAAAAGAGCTTCTTTCTAGTTGATGAAAACGGTGTAAGAGCAGGGTTTGTCATGTTTATTATGAAAATCTGAGTTTCACACGATGGAAAAATAAATAAATAACTTATTGCAATTGCTGTTTAGATAGAAGTTTATCRAAGATAATTTGAATATGGAAATTTTCAGGGAAAGGACAAGAGGAAATGGCCTCAAGTTGCACCAGACTSTTCAGATTAGACGTGAGGAAGAATTTCTACACGGSAAGAGTGGTGAAGCGTTGGAACAGGCTGCCCAGGGAAGTGGTGGAGGCACCGTCCCTGGCAGTGCTCAGGAAGCRTGTAGATGGAGCACTTAGGGACGTGGTTTAGCAGTCAGGGCAGTGTTGGGTTTATGGTTGGATTCGGTAATCKTGAAGATCTTTTCCAACCATAGTGATTTCTGTAGCGAGGTCTAGATCTTCTACTAACATACTGCTCTGCGGATCTGTTTACTCACTTTTTTGACATAAAGGTCCACTTACAGATGTTTCAAAACAGACATCTGGATCTTATCAAAATATTTTCTGTGGACACAGCTAAAATGGTTCCAGAAATACTCCCCAGGTGAAACAGAAACCTGCACGAATTTTTTAATGGCATCTTTTCTTTAAGCATCTGAAAAAGTAGCTAAGCTGGGCATTTTTTGAGTGCATTTCTTTTTTTGTTCTTCAACGGAGTTATTAAATAGGGTTCTTTACAGTCTATTTGATCACAAAAATGTCAGTACTATTTACCAGCTGATCATTAGAAAATGCTCTACAGAATTTGTTTTCTGGCCTGTTTATCTGAATAGTTTGAATCTACTGTTGCACATTCTTAACTGATAGGATTTAACACTCTTTTTAATGTTTACAGCAAGACAGACTACTTGTTTGTAATTGACAGGTTATTACCACCTTCCGGACTGGAGGGCTTTTTTGCCTCTCAAGAAAATCTACCCGATAATCCAATGCAAAGCTGTAATACATTTTACTTACAAATGATGCCAGCCACAGACTAGCATTTCTGAAACATTTGAACCCCTTTTTTTTTGCACAACATGAAAATCTATGGCTTCTCTTAATACTTTGTATACTTGAGATTTTTTTGTAAATAAGTCATGCTTGAAGCTACACTCTTACAAGTCTTACATTCAGTCTCTTGAGAACTCATGTTTTCTGATTGCTAATAACTTTCAGCTTGAAAGGAAGTAAAAGATTGCCTACAACTGATGTCTTTAAAAAGAAATCACAGAATGAACTATTAGTAATAATACACTATAACATGCAAAGGTTAACATGTTTTAGGAGTTAGTTTAAAGTGGAATTTGACGTTTCCTTCCAAAAACAGCCTCTGTAGCCATTATAATGCCATATAGGTATTGATATAATAATAAACTTCTAAGTGCCACACGGTGATTTACCTTGGAAGTACCCATCTGTCAAAGCAAATTGCAAGAAAAAAAATGATATTATTTCAACAACAAAAAAAGCTTTTATGAGAAGTTCCCATTGCAGCAGTTCCAGATAGGTTTGCAAGGACTTGAGTCAAAAAAGGCAGAAAGCTGTGATTTATAACCAAAATATGAGTATCTTATTGCAGTAATGCATCATGTCACCCATTCCCTTTGAAGAAATCAATCACATTTAAAACACTGACCTCTTTCAGTTTTCTCTTTTCAATATTTGTCATATAAAATCCAATTTGTGAACCTCTAACAAAAGAAAGCATATATCATGCAGTGAAATTTTGAAAATTTACATAAATCTCTACAGATTATAATTCTGAGAACTGTTGAGAGCAAGACCCTTGTTTTAAAAGAGGAAACATTCCTGTTGCCTCAAATCATATTTAATTGAATTGACCCTGAATCTAGAAGATAATTTTGTTTCTGTTGAAAGTATGGCAATAAGACAAAATGTTTTTCATATGTAACTTTAAGTAAAAGGCTGCTAATTTCCTTTTCCGTCACCATGGGTCTAAGTAGTTAGGTAGGTTCAGCAGTCTATTGTTCTGTGCATGAGGGTTTCTGCAGCCTATAAAATGAATGGTTAGATTCAAGATGTAAAGATGATAAGCTTCATGCTGTAGAATATTTGGCATATACTTAGTGGAATAACTGTGCGGTGTGCATTTATTGTACTTGTTGTCTGATCACATTAGACTGAATTCACAATACTAATGAAGCCCCAGATCCTTTGTGTAAGTGAAAAAAATGGAAATGATGAAATCACTTTTATGGCCAGTGTACAAAATTATAAGTAAAAGATTGTGTTTGAGTCTTGGCTCTGGTACTTTGATAGTATTTGCTAAGATTAAACCAATGCACTAGTGCAGCTATGCTGCATCTTGTTTGAGTCAGTTTATGCAAAGTTAATCCTGATATATCTGTTCAGATTATTTTGTGCTTAATCCTCATGAACATTTTTCTCCTCAGTTCCTGTACTTATTTTGTAAGGATAAATGTGTATCCCAGAAATTTTGCTAAATTCATGTAATAAATATTGTGTCATTTGAAGAYGAAGCTTAAAGCATATGGGCAAAGCATTAGTTTAGCTGTAGTACTTAAGCATTCAAAGAGGGAGTATGCACTCAGAGGAAAATGGAAAAGGGAGTTTTGTTTTCATTTCTGTGAGGTGACTTTCAGCCCCAAATTTGGATTTGTCTGTTTTCTTTTGGTTATGGAAATGTTTCACTTGCAATTTGCCTTTCTTGCATATTTTTAAGCAGATCTGCTTTCAGGGGAAGCTGGGGAAATCACAGAGGAAGACAGGGAAGAAAAAGTATTTTTGCAATGCAATGTGATTTATTTAGTAGATTGAAGCTTCAAAGAAAGTAGATTCGAAAGAAATGTTGAAACCATTTCAACTATCTTGCTACTCCGGTCTGAATAAAATTTGAAATGTAAATAAGTAGCATAAATACTGCAGAGCAAATTATAAGCAGCGAGGGCACCACTGCTTTGAAGGAAATGGAGATTATAATGATTGTTAATGTCATAACCAAAGCATCCCTGCTGGGTGCTATAATATAAGCACACCCTGCAAATCCTGTTATTATTTGGAGTATTCATGCAGAAAACAAATTGCAAAGTGAGGAATGGCCATTTCCTGTTACTAAATGCTAGCACAGAATGCAGCAGTACTAGTAAATGAATTTATCAATGGTATCAATTCTCAGACAAAAAATAAACTTACAGTTAAGATTGAATGCATAATAACTTAATGGGAAATCTCTTACAGGTGTTTTAAGTATTCTTAGACTAGTTACTGTAGCTGAAAGGCACAGAGTTAGGGTTCAGCTTGAAGGGAAAAACAGAAGAATACAAGTCAAGAAAAGCAGGGAAGGTGTTCACACAACTGTAACGCTTTTCTAAACAACAGCTCACATTAATTAAAGACTTCTAATTGGCATGCAATAGAGTTCTGGTCCAGAGGAGCTCAGACTAACTTCTAAAGATGTGCGGTGTCTGACCTCCTCCCTCCCGCCCTCATCTTCCTGGGAGCTCCTCCACGGCAGGTTTGTAGTTTCCGTAGGTGCAGGTGAGAGCACACGGGTAAGGGGAGTGCAGGGGATTCTGGTTGCAGAAGAAACCTGAAGGATCCTGAATACACTGCGCTTGGAATTACTGGTGGCAAAACAAGCCTACACCTAGTTTTTATTTTCTTAGTTGATTTGTTTAGAGCTGTATGTGTTCTCATTTTCTCAGAACTCAGGGTTGGATTTGGACTGAGAAAATAGGGAAGTACTTTATTCTTCCTGGTGAATGAGAAGTTTGAATCCCAGCATTGCTTATAAATATATAAGGCACTGTAGCTGTCCATTACATATTAAGCATCTGTTATATCCCCCGGGCAACTGAGTGCAATGGCAAGGTATAATGAATAAGAGCTTTGTTTTGCTTTGAATGTCAGTCATAATATGGTATTTGAAACTGCTGATTCGTTCTTGTAAGAAAAGGTTACCATAAATTATTTCTATTTATTACCGAAAGTTTTGGGGGGAGCAGGAGAGGTTGTGCACACATTTTACTTGGAAGAAAAAGAAAATCACTTCAAATATTCTGAATTTCATTTTCTGAAATAATGGAAACTTATCCCATTAGTTAATGTTAAGTATAGGTAAGCAGGTGCTGTGCAAGTGCCTTTGTGAAGCTCCTGAGCCCTGACTCTGTTGGTGCTTCAGTCCTTGGCATCACAGCAGCAGAGACTAAAAGTATAACAAAGCTTATGTTACAAAATACTCTTTTACATGGTATGTAAGGATTAGGGACATGATGTCATAGAATAATTCATTTCCTCACCCCCCAAAAGAACATCTTTTTCATGTGATGTATACTAAATACTGTAGCAAATTCAGTAATTCAGTGAATTACTGGGAAAAAAAAATGCTCTTTCCTCACATACTCACTGCCACTTTTATATTTTCATTGAAGTGTGTTTTTTGAGGTCTATATAGAAATGTAATTACAAAGCTGCTTCTACTTTTTATTCAGCTTGCTGTTAATTGTTTGTTTATTTGTTTAAGACAGAGGGAAAAATTGTTGTCTATGAGTAGGCAGAATACCACTGTTCCATTAGTAACATTAATGCATCACCTAGTAATRCAGTAGAAGGAGTTTAATTTATTTCTTGTATTAAAATTCTCCCTTCTTGAATTATACTGCACGTTTACACAGCTAAGTGTACGTAGTCTTAATTTAGATGCATGTATACACATGGAATAGTAATAGGTATCTCATACGGTAATTTTGTTACTGCATATAGCCATACATTTTTCATGTATGTGGTTTTGGCCACTGCTGGTTTTGGTGTTATAAAAGTTACCTTTTATATCAGTAAATACTGATATATCTTTTATCAGTAAATACTGATCTCCTATTCCAACCTCTGCCAGGCTGATCAGTGGACTCCTTTCACGTAAGACAGCCCTTGCAGTTAGTTGCCTCTCTTTTAACCTTTTATTCTTTATGATTTCTTT